AGAAACAATGCTCAGGCTTTGGTTGACCCTTCCAAACGCATGCAAAACTGCCTTCCTCCCACCTTCCCCCAGTTTATCCCTTTGTCTGCTTTCAGTCAGAATAAAGAAGGAACTTGAACTTCACTCTCACACATTCTTTCCTTTTAGTCTGATTATGTCTTGAAGAGAAAGTAAAAAGCATAGGGACAACACATGCATACCACAATCATACTCCAGTGAGATAGACAAACATGGGTAGTAGTGGGTAATACAGATAAAGATGATTTACTTGAAGGTTCCCTGCATCCAGAACTCCTCCTGAGTTTCGACAGAGCTCCCGCCATCGGTGGGTGGACTCCCCACAGAGTCTTGACGCGGGCCTACGGGTTGCAATCCCGCCTGCCGCCTTCCTCTTAGAACCGATAGACTAGACTTAGAAGAAGAAGGACAGATGAAGATGGTTATGAGACTCTAAGATCCAAGAAAGGTGCGCTCAGACTCGCGTGAGAGGGCCTCGTTACCTTCACTCACCTGAGGGCCCCGCAATGGCGGCCAACTGATAGCTTGATCAACGAAGTCAAACTGACGAAGTAACCCCTCCTGACGACCTCCCAATTCGCAACACTAACCCGCCCTATTAGTTCAGTCTGATCTCCTCCTCGTCTCAACACCTCCTCCTCAATTTTTAACCCCAACCACCCAGCAGCTGGTAACAACCCCTTAATGGCTCGCAGCAATATGCAGTACCCCGCAACAGCAGCCCGTGGGCAGCAGCAGTGCACAACGGCACGCCGTAAATCGCCTGTGCACCGCTCGTAGCAGCCAACGACAATAGCAGTTGTACACAGCGGCGGTCAACAGAAATAGAAGTAGTCTACAGTAGCCATCGTTCGCACACAGTCCACTGGCGCAGCAGTAGTACCCGACGGAAGTCAAGTAGTAATAGTAGCGGCTCCTCCTAGCTGCAGTTTTTAGTTGCCGTGGTCTTCAGTGGTTGCTCGCAGCTACGGTAACATATGCTAGCAGTAGCCAAATAGTTCACAACGGTCAAACAACAGCATGCAGCAGAAGCGGTCAGTAGAAACAGCAGCAGTCTGTGCCCAGCCTTCAGCAGCAGCACACAATAGTAGCTTACACACTATCAACCAACAACCGCAGAATGTGTGCAGTAGGCAGCTGCAATCTGAGCCCTGCCAACAGGTCCTCCAAGCAGCAGTTCATACCACGGTACATCACGGAAGTCTGGCCGTTGTTGTCCATCAGTGCACAATAAGCCCCCAATTTGGCAACTGAGATACAGCAGCAGCCGCACTGCATGGGCTATGCCCGACTCTGCTGCATGCTCCAAGCGGGTG